TAAACTGAATAAATATTTTTGATTTTGATTTTGATTTTTTGATTTTGATTTTATATCGAACATCCTTTGAATACTGTATGAAGACAACCTGCGTACTTATTAAAATTTTTGCTGATGTAACAAAAGGTCAAAACTCAAAACTTTCAAATAAACGAATCCAATTCGACATTCGGCTCTATTCGTGTCCATCACAAATTCAACGGTGTAACCACATCCCAAACGGTTAAAACAGATAAGAAACTAAAGAACTCACGATCTTTCATGCTCTTCTCTTACACTGTATGGTTTTTAACTTTGACTATGAAATATTTTTGACTTTGACTGTAAAGACGCTGACCATAACAACCACATGTCACCGAGGAAAGGAACAAATTAACTTTCAAAATTAAAGGTTGACATGTTTTGATGAATTCAATACAATTTGCTATGTTTTAAATCCTAAATGGGGCTAAAATCTTTTGATTGCGATTCGAATACGCAAACGATTCGAACTCGAAAGTTTTTCGTGCTAGTCGTAGTGTGCTGGCCACTCCGGCCGCGGTGTGGCACCTGTGTAATAGAATGCACAAACCTGGCGCGCGACGGGTGCGCCAGACCGGGTAATGTAGTTTGCACTTTGCAGTTTTTTGCACACATCCCATTTAGCGGGATAGTTACTGTGTTCCGTCGACTATACTAATTATTGTTGTAGAATAAAATGGCGGGGTAGGTATCCGAAAACTAAGTAAGTCGATAAGTTCAAACTAATTATAAAATATGTTTACTTAGTAGGTACATGCATTAATATTATTCATTGTTATTAAAGAGTACTGCTATAATACAAATAGGTATGTAGGTATGTTATGTTTGTTGGTAAGTATCATAGGATTTAATAGATCACCTGGAGGAATGAAGCATCTGGACGCACGCAACGTAGCACTGGAAATCCTTGGGCGGCCTTTACCTGAAACAAACAATGCCTATTATAATATTTGATGGAAACACTGTTTTCTAAGCTAGACGTTGCAAATGTAAGTAGTACATAGCTAAAAAATAATTAAGTATTCTTAATCCCTATTTACTTCCGAAAACCGCTTAAAGTTCAGAAGTAAATAATAAGCATCAGGCTCATTAAGGTCGGTAAACCGTTCGTTTTCTCAAAATAAAAGAGGAAAATGTAAAGTTTTCACATCGAGAGCCAATAAGTTAGACGATTTGGTCCATGTTGTGAACTTCAGCAAAATATAAAATTATACGAGTTCAACCTAATGACGTCACGAAATAGCCGCTAGTGAGCTCTACATACTACGTGATTTATGTAACAAGCTCTTTACATGCCACCCAAAGTTTCTGTCGATAGTGACAACTTCGTAAACATTGAGGTACCTATATTATCATTGGAATATCGTATTTATCTCGTGTGAATTACGTAAATACAAACACATATCATAATTATCACACTCAATTTAGCGAATTGTAAGCTTTTTAATACTTGTACCACAGTCCAAGAGTTCTCGTGTGTGGGAATGATATCGGGTTTTATTGGCATGTTCGGTATACGACCGCAATCCTAATGAATATCCGCCACATCGTACATTGTTTATATCCTTTAGTTTTCGTGTTAAAAATATAAAAGTAGACGAAGAATAAGTTTTACGACATTTTAGTGAGGGCAAAACTTTCAAATATTACCTATGTTATTATCAATCAATAGCATCATTTTAAATTTTAATTAATAAAACAAGTGCTTAAAATACACTTGTTTCCTGAGGCCAGCTTCTTGATGAATTTATACCCTATAATTAACTTACACTTGCAAAAGAAAATTTAGTAGTACATGCGAGTTTTAAGTAGATAAAAGCGGTTTAGTGTAAAAAAAAGTATTTAGTGCCATTATGCAGTCGAACAAGTCACGCTTTTACTACTTTAACGCCACATAAATGAATGTTGGCAACGCTGTCGCAAACCCAAATGTTTGACATGGCAGGAAATCGAACACATTTCCTCGCTGCCCGGAAAAACTGCGTGGATTCCGGTCACTTGTCGGGAACGCGCCGCGCTTGAGGGTTGACATGTCATTGATAATAATATGAACATGTAAAGCTGGTAGGTACTATGTTTGTTTGTCACATTAACACTTAATGAAAATTACGTATGTTTTTCTTGCATTGAAGCTCGTACAACAAGGCACAAACAAACGCACAAATCAGTTTCAGCTCAATATTGAAGCTATGTTGGAAGAAACTTCCTTTTGTTAAAATTTTTACTTCAATACGATGGTTAGTAGTAGTAGGGTAGGTCTAGGACGTTAACGTAAATTCCCAATTTCAATACCTACAACAGCCTACCTACTAACTACTGAAGAAAAATTCACACTGTACCTATAAGAATCGCGTTAATATTGTATCGAATTCGCAAGACGTGTGCAAACACACCCGTTGGGAAATAAATGAGCCTCGAAGAATAAAAGGAAAAATAGTTTAGTAATCCTCACTACAAGCTATGAAATAAACAGCATTCTTTTTATTAATATAACGGTAAATCGCGCTAATCTCAGGAACTACTGATCCGATTTGAAAAAATATTTTTGTGTAGGATTTATAGAGGAAGGCTTTAGGCTAATATAACATCATCCTACAGCCAATAGGGGCGGAACAGTAAGGAAAATGTTGCAAAAACGGGAAATATTATTCAGACTATTTTCACGCGTACAATGTCGCGGGATCAGCTGTAATAGTAGGTCCTACCTACCTACATAATTTAGCGCATACAGCAGCTACAACTCGAAACTAAACAGCACGATGCCTAAAAAGATTAGGCATCTTCAGACTAGGTAACCTACTATAAACACCGTTTTGCGATTGGTTCGTTTTAGTTCGTTTAGTGATAGAACTTCTTTTTACTTACCTACCTAGGTACGTACCTACTTTGTTGTTAATAATCAACCAAATTAAACGAATGTACAGAATCCTCTGATCCCGGGCTATTCCTTTTCGCCTGGATGTGGTCCAAGATAATAAACCCGTGCCCGCGGCTGTTGGCACCCGGGCCGACGTGTCTCAGTGGTTTAGGGGCTAACCGTGATGCGAGATCGAAGCTCTAGTCTGCGACAAATGTCGAAATAAGACATAAGATGTAGGTAGGCTACCCTATGTTTAGTAGATTGGCTAGTTCACACTTAAGAGTAGGCGCACACCGTTGATTTTTCGTCGGCCGATAGTTTAGTCGGGCAGTTGATCAGTATGGGCATGTATGGGAGTGCGCACACTACGCCGATTCGATTTGGCCGATTCTTCATACAATTTAAAATCGGGCACAACTATCGGCCAACTAAAAATCAACGGTGTGCGCCTACTCTTAGGGCGATTAATGCAATAGTCGGTCTATTTGCAGATTAAGTTAAAATAACCTACTAACAGCCGGTTCACATAATTATGTCTCCGTTTTACTGTTCCGTTTTATCGTGCCTACGTTTTTTTCGTCGATGGCGTAGGCGTAGGTAGGTATGTAGTTGTATGAGCGACTTCACACATGACACAGTATTCTGTACATGGACGAAAAAAAAACGTACACGATAAAACGGAACAGTAAAACGGAGACATGTGTGAACCGGCCGTAATACGTACTATTACTTATAATGTGCTAATACACAACTGATATCGATACGGTTAGAAAGATCACAAGGGCAAGGGGCGCACAATCATTTGCCCATGGACCTGCATTTACCTACGTAGGTAACCAATACTTGAAAGCTGAAAATAACCGAATAATTATTGCTTTTAAGTTTGATTAAATTTGTCCATCGATAAGCACAAGTCAAATACATAAACAAGTTTAGGTTACCTATAAGCTTAGGCTATAAGTACCTACTACAATAGAAAAGTGGCAAAGCAGTCTCTCAAATTATAACCTAGAAATGGTAACCTAAATAAAAATATAATCTCCACCGCCTTAATAAAAAAACTACTAGTAAGTACTAGTAAGTACAATCATTCAAGTTTAAAATATAGTCACAATCAACATACCTTTTTGTTAGCTCCTCAGACTACCAGCATCATACACAGCAAGCAACATCCAAAATTCACCAATGCAAAACAAAACACATAACACAGGACACTACACATTGGACACACTTTTTTATTACTGAACTGTATAATCGTTATTATTTCTCTGAAACATAACATCATTACAATTCACAATTGAATTAAATAGATGGAAATAAATCTTTCTTACCGGGCACCGCCATTAAATTACAAAAACAAAAACACTAACAAAAACTAAAAAGTCACAGATTAAAAAATGTCATTTTTTTTCTGTGGCAAAGGCATAAAATGTTATTCAGCTAAGACATACTGCGCACACACAATGACGATGGAGCTTGAAAAATATTTTCCCTTGGCCTTCTTTTGCCGTTTTGAATTTTTCGGAGTTAAGGTAAAACTTCCTAGTATCGGCTTTTATATCATCTTGTATCGACTATTTACAATATAAAATAAAAGTCAAATTTTTACGTGGCTATGAGTTATTTTTGTGCATTTATATTCCTTACAAATTAATATTAAGTAAATAAATTAAATAAAAAATATTTATTTTCATACAAAGCAGTCCATATTTTGTTAGTAACAATTTGATCTTAGAGACTATACTAATACAATTTTCTTAGTTAGTAAGTAAGTACGGTTCAGGGGTTTATGCGTGAAAGTAAGTAAGACAGGCAGACAGACAGAGTAACTTTCGCATTTATATTATTAGATATAGATAGTATAGATTAACGTTTTCATATACCTACATAAATCTCGTTTTATACATTATATCTCACAAATAGCCCGGAATATCTTAGAACAATTTAAATATAATTTAATAAATATTTACGAAAAAAAAAACTTAAAAAATAAAAACCATTTAGTTTTGATTTTGTATAAGTACCTAAGTACCATACATAGTTCAAGGTAATTTAAATTTAATAAAATACAATTAGTATGTGTAAACTTAATTACTCGTGCATCTAAAGAAACAAGAAAAATCTTAGAATAACAAAACCTTAAAAGCGTGATACACATCTGCAGAAACAATTTCTTAATTTAAATTGCTCCAAGATTTTACGCTGCGTTCCTTTGATCATGAAATAATTAATAGACAGTTCAAAAGAATCCGTAAATTATACAACTTCGAATCATTTAAAATGCATAAACTTAGTTGCTAAATTAAGTGAATACCGAAAGGGAACGATTTATTATTCGAAGTTGGGAGGATATTAATTAACGAATAAATAATTAGTTGGATGAATCGGTATCTGAAAATATTTTGTATGAGCCGAAGGGCTTGTTATTGTGGATGTTGTTTGAAGCTAAGTAGCCATACAAATTTCTATATTTACCGTGGATGCCATATGCACCGGGCAAATAAAACCCATAGTTTGAAAGTAATACAGCAAGTGAACCGAGAGATAAATTGCTAAATTGAGAAAAGTCTCTTATAGGTATTGGAACGAACATGTACCCATTAAAACGATCATGATTCTTTGATCTTCGCGATAGAGCGTAATTTGATAAATTTTCATTAGGTTGAATATTGTACTTGGAAAGTATGTCTAGAAATTTATTTGTTAGATTATTTGCTTTGCTGTGACTAGGATTGGGGGGAATATAAAAATATCCTGGTCGTTGCTCAGCTTCACTTTGTTCCTCTTCGAATTCTCTAGTGTCTTCTGTAACTTCATATAACTTTGGTTGGTTGTTTTCTTGTTCTAATCCATAATTGTGTTTTCTTAAATTTTCTGATCTTTCTTCATTGATGTCGACACTATTAGGATAATAAATCTTAGAAATTGCTTTTGCTCTTCTAAAATTAGTGTCAATTGCATCTTTTGTGTCTTTGTCTTCAAGTTTATTACTTTTAAGTTCTAGGTTTCCTTTCGATGTTGTTGCTATTATATTTTCTTGTAATGCTAGAAAATAAGAGTTGTGCGTATTTTAATTTTGAATACAATTTACCAGACTTAGTTACAGTAAAATTACACATTCCTATTGAAGTTACCTTCTTCGTGATTCCCTGGTAAATTACTTTGAAGATCATTCACAGATGTTATTTTATCTGGCGCTAAATGATAATACGCATTTTGTTCATTCAATTTTAGCGTTTTCATCGGTTGCACCTGCTTCACTGCGTTTGCATTATTGGTTATAAAAGTACTTAGTGTTGGCGTTGATAGTAAATGAGGTTTTTGTTTATCTGAAAAATCCGTATTTCTTCGGTCTCCTCTATTAAGCGTACGCAAGACCTCTTCTTTACTTAATGGTATCCACTCATTTTGTGGTATTAAAATATGAGTAGAACTTGCTTTAAAAATCACCTGAAATAGGATTAATTTTAGAATTTGTTACTCTGAGTAGGATTACTTTAGCAGGATTCTAAGTATTATTTAATATTTAAAAATAATAAGTAGGTGTTTATAAGTGTTTATAGGTGTTTATAATTTTAAATAGTTTTTATGGAAAACACTAGCTTAGAATCATACTAATTATTGTAATTTAATAATTAAACAGAAACTTACCAAAAGAATAAATCCATGAACAATGGTCTTATACATTTTAAACTTAAACGAGTGAACACGCTTACATCTAGAAATGACTGGCGAAGGCGGGACTAAGTATGGGTCACTCATTGAGTTAAAAATATCACTTACCATTAGACATAGGTTACACTGTAAGGAGTTTAATATTTATCAAAGTACTTACCAATTACCTATTATCTTAATCCTGGAAAAACACTTTTGCGTTTCATCGCATTAAAATTCTAAATTTTTAACTACTGATATTTTTTGTAATAGGTATGAGTAGGTACTACTACATTTATGTATAAAGAGAATTTGTTCTGTTTTTTTCTGCACTCGGAGGGTATCGGAATGCAAAAACGTTGAGGTTCTCGGGATGTACCTACCTACTTTAATTTGGTACGTTTACCCTGGTCCCTGTCAGTTAAGTAAGTATTGTTGCAAAATTTTACGGATAGAATAATATGGTACCGAATGACATGATATTTTATTACTTACCTATAGCCTGACCAGGAACATAAAAACCCTCGCCATGTTGCGGAAAACTAATGGTACTAATTTCTTTTAATGGCAACAGTAACTGAAAACTTCATTGACATGTCACCTTGCATGTCAGTCTATTGTTGTCAAAGTGTAAACAAACTTTATTTTAAATGTGTGCAATTGATTTTGTGAATTAAATTGCTAAAATATTTTTATAGTCGTGAAAGAAAAGTGGTTCACGATGTGTTAATGTATTTGTCGAAGAGAAATACTAAGGGTTCGGACAATATTTTCATTGAATAATGTTTCCGACAAAGGTTGTCAAATTGACTGACATGTTTATCGTATGGTACAGTCCACTATGAAAATTAGCTGTAGTCTGTTTCAACTACCTATTTTAAAGTTTTTTGTCACTTTCTAAGTTTTGAATTTTATGGAATTGGGAAAGAAGTACCGAGTTTGAAGCGTTCATGAGCAGACATTGCAGTTGAATATTCATGTTCTGAATTTGATTTTATTGATGAATAATAAAATAAATCCTACTAGCTCGATTGATGGTTTCATTTAATTTATTTAAACCAGGTTATCTTTAATAATATTTTTCGTTAATTTATGAAAATATCAAATTAGCCCGTAATCCTGAATCCTGATACATAAATTTAGCCTATTAATTTAACACATGTACGACTGTACTCAGTGTTGCACTATCAAATGCAATTGAAGCGCCTCTGTGCCAGGGTTTTTATGTTCCTGGTCAGGCTATACCTACCGAAAAGAGTAAGGATTGGATATTTTTTTTGATTGTAGATCTACTTAATTTAAAAAAAAAAAAAAAAAAAATCTTACTAATATTGAACTGTTTGGCACAATTATTTTCTCACTTGTAGCCATGGGCTAATGTGTAAAGCGCAGTGTGTGGCAACTTTCTTGTTAATTGTTTTCTTTGTACCATTACGACGACACAGAATTGCTTTCAACCACCACTTGAGTCGGGTGTGGTGCGAACATGCTGACGCCCGCGGGTACCTATTCTTTCTTTTGTCACAAAATACTTACCTACCTACTATTTTGTGCTTTTATTATGTTGCAATTCTAGTAAACTTACCCTGCACCGATGCGCCTTAACTATCTTCGTCAGTAGAAACTCAGTCAGTAGAAAAAGTTTAGTTTTATATGAACCAAAAATTAAAGACATCGGAGGTAAGTACTATTACGAGTATTGTTTCGAGTTAGACAAAAACTTCAGGGTGCTTATCTTAATAGGCAAAAAACTACCTAAAACTTACAAGGATTGTAAATCAGTCTTTTGTAAATTTTGATAATTTACTTTTTCTTGCTATGACGCCTACAAAAAATATTAGCAATTATCCTGAAAAGATAAAACGTAGCGCAAATAATTTAGGCATTTTAATATTTTTGTATTAAAAACTTTTCATAATTATTATAGGAGCTTCTTATATGTAAAGAAAAAAGCGTTTGTTAGTCGTATACCTCGAAATCAAAAAATCCTTGTAGCTTTTCACCTATTCGCATTTCACCGTGATAGCGTTTTTTGTTGTAGCGTATAATATCGGTAGTATATTTTGTTACTAGCTTAGGTATATTTTGAACAGATTTTTACAATAGTAGCAAATTTCGATGTAGCATAAATTGTCAATAGCCTATTTAGTTAGCAGCAAGTATTTTTATTTTATTTATTTAAATGCATTTACAAAACAAAACTATAGAGGTATAGTGCCTAAAGGAAATATCGCGATATGTAATAACGCATTACAAACAAATAATATCTATCAAGGTGAAAAGCGACTACAGTGAAGACAGGCAGGAATGTAAATCTACTATGAATTTTTTAGACAATTGTGATTAGCGATCAAAATTTATACCTACTTACTACAAGAATAAAAATCTATTCAGAAATTTTGATATCGCTGTGAAATGCTAATAGGTGAAAAGCTACAAGGATTTTTCGATTTCGAGGTACTATACGACTAACAAACGGAAAAAAGTAAGTATGCCTACTTACTAACGTCAAAGTTCATAAGTAGGTAGGTACAAATAAATGGGAAAGTTTGTGTGGATGTTTGTTACTCTTTCACGCAAAAACTACTGATTGGATTTTCAAGAAACTACAGTATTATTATTTATAACCCAGAATAAAATATAGGCTATAATTTATAACGATCTGTGACAAACCAAATTTCACGCTGGTGAAGCCGCGGGCAAAAGCTAGTCCTACTACCATTGGAACGGGGAAGGGACCAATCTGACAACAGAATGAATGTCTACGTGAAACTTATTTCTCTTAATAAATTTCTTGTCAACCCTTAAAAATTAAGTTATTTAAGTAACACTCCCAAAAACGGTTCCGAAATCTATCTGTAAAATGGCGGATTGCAAATTTGCAATGTCTGCATCCTTGCAGGCACAACGATTATAATTAGACAAATCACGTGAGCGCACGATCGGCGGCCGTTGGCGATCTTTCGGCTAGATAGATAAGGTACTAGCATCGGCTTTGGGCATATTGAGAAGGTCCCTTGCTTTGCTGCTTCCTAAAGGTTTTTGTTTTGTGTGGAGATTTAATGACAACTCATTTTTCAGCAAGTCAACGGTTTTGTTAATAATAAATAAATAAATATCCTTGGACATTTTACACTGCGCCTCTAGCCCCAAACTAAGCAAAGCTTGTACTATGGATGGGTAACTACTAGACAACGGATATAAATAAACATATTTGAACACTTTTTTTTGTAAATAAATACATATTTTACCTACATAGAAAACACCCAGACCCGTCACAGAAATTAAAATTCATCATTTCAATTTCTGCCCCACCGGGAATCGAACCCGGGACCTCTCGGCATAGTAGTCCGTTCTGAACCACTACACCAAACGGCCGACAAATAGATAAAGAGGAATCAAAATTATGTATAATAGGTACATAACTACTTACATAGAAATCACTATGTACAGGATATAAGATTTCTGAAAATTGAAGCTTGCAAAAACTAATTGCTAGTGACTAAGAAAGACAGTAGCGCCAACTGGTGAGTGCTAAAGAAGTCACAATGTAATGGAACACTTCAGTGTTGTCCAAATCAAATCAATAATTTATTCAGTACTTAGGCCTTTTCTAGGGGGGTTTAATACAGATCCCAAATATAGCTTGCCCTACCACCACTTCGGGACATAATCAAATCAGGCCATGTTTATGGGCTGGTGCTGAGAAGTGGCGGTAGAAAGAAACTCACGCCCGTATTCACAAATGATGCTTGCAACGCACAGCGTTGAATAGAGCTCTGTGATTGGTTCGTGTGTCGCCCTGTGCGTCCAAGCGCACTGTGAAGTAGTATCTTATGAGGTCTCACAAACTCTTCACAAACATTACTTGTTTGTGAATACGGGCGTCAAAATCAAAATTATCTTTATTTGTTTAGACTAATTAAATTAGTACTTGCAAATCGTCAAATGCTCTTAAGGAGCCGTCAGTCACCTGTCCTTACCAAATAATTATGCTAAAACGTCCGTTGTGGATGGCGCCACTCTCTGTGATCTGTAAGGTTAAAAACTGCATTATACTGTTTCTCCAATGTCTCCAAATAAAACTACAAGTTCATCAAGCTCATCATCTATGCTATATTTTTAAATAACATTAACCTAATATGCTATTATAATGTTTTTTATAAACTTATTAAATGTAATTAATGTACACTCGCGAGCAAAAGTATGGAATCACTTACATGAAGTTGTTTCCACGCGATCTTGTGTACTAACGAATTTTGTAAGTAACAAAAAAAGTGGCACCATTTTAAAGATTAAACTTTTAACTTTAAATTGATACCAAATTCATTTAAATCACACCAGTATTTAAAAAGATATCCCGGCTGATGTGAAGAAGTAAAGAAAAAGACATGTATCAACTGTTTGAGACGTCGCGAGTTGCGGCCTATTTACCCTCTATAAAAGCACGTGTTTTCGGATTTTTGCTTTCACACGTTAATCCATACACATCTCCGCTTCTTTTACACTTTACCTGGGAATCTACTCCTTCAAAAGCAGCACAAATCGTTGCACTATTGCAAGAAGGGCTCAGCCAGCGGGCTGTGAAAAATCCGAAAACACGTGCTTTTTAGGGGGTAAAGTCAAAGTCAAAATTTCTTTATTTGTTTAGACTAATAAATAGTTCTTAAAATCGTCATTTTGCTCTTAAGGGGCCTCTACATGTCTCATAATCTTTTTACCCTACCAGCGCTTCGTGACCAACATTTGGCAAGTGCTGAGAAGAAGCGCCGCAACAAACTCAGTCACCACTGTCTGCCGGTTAATATAAATAAATAGAGATAGCAGTAGTAGGTACATTCGATTCAGGAGCAGTTCACTGAATTTACCATGCATTCTTGTAAAGTGTATCTTATAATGGGTATACAAAATTGCGTGGTATATTAAACAAGGTAGTGACATGCTAATATCTAGACTTACAGATTACATACTTAAATACTAGTAGAAATGACTCGCGTACATAAATTGGAATAACTTGGATTGACCAGTCCCCGAAAGCAGCGCCTGTTCAAAAATAAAGCGGTAAATAGGCCGCAACTCGCGACGTATCAAACAGTCGATACATGTCTTTTTTTTACTTCTTCACATCAGCCGGGATATCTTTTTAATACTGGTGTGATTTAAATGAATTTGGTATCAATTTAAAGTTAAAAGTTTAATCTTTAAAATGGTGCCACTTTTTTTGTTACTAACAAATTCGTTAGTACACAAGATCGCGTGGAAACAACTTCATGTAAGTGATTCCATACTTTTGCTCGCGAGTGTAGTATAGTTTGTTTGTATTAATAACATTACAATATTATTGTGATTACAAGTCAAATACACATAGTTTTCACACTTAACCTGTGGTTAAGTTATATGGACTACGTTAAAAATGCTGTAGACACTTAATTTCAAAATTAAATAATATACATACATAGTAATTTAATTTTTAGCGTTAAGAGTCGCATCTCAAACTAATTTGAAAATTATAAATAACTTGAAAAAATCGAACTGCCTAAGGCGGGAATTGAATCCACGACCTTCCGCTTGCCGGGCGACTGCTCTTCCAACTGATTTTTTCAAGTTATTTATAATTTTCAAATATATGTACATACATACAGGTTGGCCAGGGAGTTGACGTTCAAAGCTAAAATTTAGATTCCTTACATCAAGGTGTATCTAAAATCACCCACCTCCATGTATGTTCTACGATTTTGCTTAGTTTAGAAGACAGAGTTAATTTTGTGATTTATCTTTAACCTATGGTTGGTTTTTATTTTTTTTCTCACTCTGGAAGCTTATCTAGCGTAAGTAAGTAAAAAAAAAACTAAAAGTGCTCACCAGAGTGAGAAAAATATTAAAAACCAACCACAGGTAACCACAAAATTAAATATATCTCCTAAACTAAACAAAATCGTAGAATATACATGGGGATGATGATTTAGATACACCTTTTGTAAGGAATCTAAATTTTAGCTTTCAAAGTCAACTCCCTGGCTACCCTGTATAACTAGTTTAAAACAAAAGATTACTTTTTAATTCAAGATCCAATCCAGTAATATTCATCATGCAATAAAAAAGTTATCTTTCTTAGACAAGTTTGTAATGAAACTAGGAACAATCCGTAACAAAATTGATGAATGTGTTTAAAAACCCTTGATCGCGCCCTGGCTCACGAGGACCCTTTGCATCATTAGCTGGTGAATAAACCTTTTTCGTCGATTTAATTTCTGTAACTTCATTGGCTACACGCTTTTTATAATATTCTTTGTCTGATTTTTCTAGAACTTCTTTGCATCTAAAACAAGTTAGTTTGCGCATAATTCTTATTCCACATGACAAATGAATATTGTTTTTACATATGTGACATTTCTTCATTTTATCTTCACAAGTTGCATAACACACGACACAGTCTTTGGTTTCACTCATAATCTCTTCCTCGGATTCAATTTCCACGGCAAGTATTTGAATATTGGAATCACTTTGAAAATCAATACATCCATCCATTTCATTCGGCGTATTTAAAAAAGTAGGTTTATTTTCTGAGATATTCATTTCATTATGGGATGCTTGTGGCGATTCACTATTTTCAAATGGCAGTATGAATTCAGTAGATTTAATGCTAAAATATTCATTTGGGTTTTGAGCTTTCTCAAACTGTTCTCTCTCTGTTGTCTCTACATCGGACTTTATAATATGATTATCTATAGTCGTCTCAAAAGGATTGACAGTGTTGGTGCATTCGGTAGGTTTGAGTGCAATTAATGTATTACTCTCGCGTTTCTTTTCCTTTCGCATCCGTAATGGTGTAAATTCTCTTCCTGTTATGAGAATTCTGGAAGAGAAGACTGTGCCATCTTGACCAGCTGTAAGATCTCGACAGAATACATATCTGTATGGCGATTGAGAAATTGTGTAATTAAATGAAGCATTTTTTTGGAACTGGATAAAGTAACATCCTAATGACCACTTATTTGAATTATTTGTTCTCATCCAAGCATGCAATCTATTTACAATAGATTTGTTACTCTCTAGATTTTGGCCAGTTCTGTGAACATTATCAATGGAACCTACAGCTACACAATCAGGCCATTGAAACTTGAGTTCTTTTAAAATTTTAACGATGAATTCTTTCTCGTGTACTTCAGAGCACAATATGTATGGAGGACCAAATGTTAAAAATATTTTACTCAGTTCTGTGGCAATTTCCTTTGGTTCATTTGTTCTTAATGGACGAAGGCTCAAGAAATGCGTGCCATGATCTTGATATTTGAGCAACCATCTATAATCCTCATCAGGACATTGTTGAAAATCTATTATATCAACTTCACCTTTAATATTGAAACCTTCAATCGAATGTAATTTTTTGATCGAGCTAGCCACGGAATTCGTTGGGCCACACGTAGGACAAACATCTATAAAGATTTCTACAGCTTTTATTGGTATATAATATTTGTGCCTAAAAATTTCTATCATCTTCTTACATCCGCCATGATTACAGCTTTCATGAATAAAATTTAGAGTATCAAAATATTCCTCACGAGGTAAAATAAGTATTGCTGGATCTAGAATGGTGTTCCTTTTAAATATTAAACATGTTTTGTCAGCCACCACATACTTCTCATATTTCTCTTCTAGCGAAAAATCATTCATAGAAGACATCTGCTCTAGAATATCAAGGATTCTTGTAGCCGTCAATACGTTATTTGATGTTCCTGAAAAGAAAAGAAATGTATGTGAATAATAATCATTATCATCACATCATCAAGTCACTTAGTCTCCACTGCAGGAAGATGATGACCCTCTCTTTCCTACAACTCCAACATTTTCCTATTACTTTTTTCACTTTAATACTCTACCCTACCTAACCAAAAATTTTATTTTACACAAGAACTATGTAATTTTTTTTACCGTTTCGAAATATGCGAGTTATTTCCAACACAAGGATCTCTGATTACTTACTGGGAAGCCTCGGCACAAACATTTTTATAAATATTTTGTTAATAAACAATTTTTAATTTTAATTTTACCCGAGGATATTAAAAACACCAAAAAGTCACAATATGTTGTATGGGAGTCCCCTTTACATATTGTTATATATTTTTTTCTGTATTTCGGCAACAGGAATAAAATTAAATCATCTGTGAAAAATTACAATTTTCTACCTATTACGGTTCATGAGATGCCTAGATAGATGGCCGTTGTAGGCCCCATTTTTATCCTTTAGGTACAGAACACCAAACAAGTAAGTACCTAGACCTACCATGTTTTGAATATCACTGAAGCTAGCAATGTCCATTTAAAAATACTTTTTTTATTACATACCTACCTACTTAAAGCCAGAAAATTACAAATTAAATAATAAAAAAAAATCTTGTAAAGTTATAATTTAACATTCAACATGATTGATTTGATTGAATAATTTCCTGTTTAGTGCATTTTAAAATATAGATGTTCTGTCTGTGTACAATAAATTAACTATTGTTTTAATAATAAATACCCATTTGTGACTCAATAAATACTTATAATGAAAACATCAGCACCATAGCCTAAAAAACAACATGAAGCATCTTCTCAATATAAAATAAAAAATAATAATAAAAATACTTGGACTTACGGGCTCAGTGGCCGCCCCAGGTGCGTCCTAATAGATCATTAATTAATAGATAAACAACTTGAAAAAATTGAACTGCCTAAGGCGTGAATCGAACCCACGACCTTTCGCTTGCCAGGCGACTGCTCTTCCATTTGAGCTACTTAGACACTGGATAATTTTTCAAGTTGTTTAGTTTGAGAAGCGACTAATCGCCAAGAAATGTTAATAACAATGGTCATAACAGGGTTCGAAAATATCCGATATTTATTATAAATATCAAAATATCGGATATTTATGATATATATCCGATATATATCAACTTTGATATANTTAGTCAGCCAGCTGTCAATGGATGCATTCATTTTGACTTTAAAAAGATTTATAGCCCGTAGAGGTAAGCCAAAGATCATTTACTGTGATAATGGTAGAAACTTTGTTGCAGCAAATAAAGAGATAAATTCATTTTTAAATAATAATAGCGATTCTATCATTGATCACGCTTCTCGTGAAGGCATCGAATTTCGTTTCTCACCTGCGTACGCTCCTCACTTTGGTGGTTATTGGGAAAGTGGGGTCAAGTCAGCGAAGTTTCATTTACATAGAGTCATAAAAATTTTTTTTCATTGAACCGACCGTCAGAGCGCCAACAGTGTTTGTAATGCGCTGCGCGTAAAATGATCCGTTTAGTGGTTTAAAGTTGCCGATTTGTCTCGAACTGTGTATAAAAACGTTGCACTAACTCTGATAAACAACCTAGTGAAATGTGTTCCCGTTGAAAATCAGTGCAAATAAGTTTATTTGTGGATTTAATTCAACCAAGCAAACATTCTGTCACTGTGTTTGTTACAACTTACCGTCACGGACGATAGATGCGGTGCAAGACAAGAACAAAGCGAGTTCTGAGCGAGACGCCACATTCCACCATCAACGTCACACGCTGCTACGGGCTACGAGGATTGGACGTAGTACTACGAGCGAGTATAGCCGTTATCGCGCTACGAATTATTGCGCGTCGATGCTACGAAGACAGTATCTATTTTTAGACTTTACTGTTACTGTGCTACGATAATATTAAACTACTACAATGAACAGCTGTTCTGCTTGTAAAAATATCATACGCGAGAGCTGCGTACCTAAGTGCTCGTTTTGCAAGGAGCTTTATCACTATGGGTGTGTCAACATATCGCCAAATGACTACAAGGAATATTACTCAACTAAACAGCGTCGCTGGTGTTGCCCGCTCTGCGCAAATATAAACCGCAATCGTCGTAAAGACGATAACACTCCAGTGCGTTCGCAACCGTCGCCGCCTTCTGCAAGAAACATTGATAAGCCCCGCAAGAACAGCTCCGTTATCGGTGCCATGGGACGCCCTCGATCTACAATGGAACCGAGTCAGACGGCCTCATCAAGCCAAGCTAACCTGTCAATGATGTCTGTGGAGGATGACACTCTGAGCGAGTCCTCGTCTGTATGTGAACCGCTACGAAAGTCGGTAATTCTCAATCCTGACCCTGATACTATCACATACGACAAGTTTAGTGCTTTACTGGACTCGAGGTTGAGTAGTTTAAAAGTGTCAATTACGAACGAAATAACTGCGCAGTTGGGAAAAGAGATCAAAATGGCGATACAGTCGGTAAGGGATGACTTTACAAAGACTACCGATTTTCTTGCGGATGAACAGAAGGATCTGAAAGCTGCCCTTACAGCTGCCAATGACAAAATAAGGGCACTTGAACAAGAGAAGCAAAAATTTAACATCAACATCCTCGACATTGAGCAGCGTATAGACACACTAGACAAAGCCTCAAGAAATCGTAACGTCGAAATCCACTGTGTTCCACAGAAACGAAACGAAAACCTACACTTCTTGGTCAAGAAATTGTATGAGGCTGTCAGGTTGGTTTTTTCTGAAACGGATGTCTGTTCGGTCCGAAGAGTAGCCAAAGTGAACCCTAGCTCGGAGCGGCCTCGCAGCATCTTACTTACTCTTCCCTCCGAACGCCATCGTGACGTGCTGATATCCGCCTTCAAGCGCCACAACAAGAGTAACCCGTCCAACCTGATCAACACTACTCATCTGGAAATCCCAGGAAAATCGGTCCAGTAGTTTTTGAGCCTATCCATTACAACTAAACAAACAAACAGATTAAGATGATCAGTCTAACGCAGTGCTCATTAAAAACATGTCTTGCCTGGACAAATTAAGATCTGAAACTCCTAAGTGATCACTTTATTGCTTTGTATGTCTGATCACTCTCATTATTACTTGTTATAGTGAAATTTAAACACACATTTTGTTTCTAAATGAAGGTTTATTATCAGAATGTAAATAGAATAAGAACTAAAACAACAGAATTGTATTTAAATGTATTGAACTGTAACTTTGATGTTCTTTGTTTGACGGAGACCAATCTGAGGCACGGAGTGTTTGACTCTGAACTTTTTGATAGTCGTTTCGATGTATACCGTAGGGATCGCCAATCCACCTGTTCACTGAAGTCTGACGGAGGTGGTGTCCTGGTCGCAATTAATAAAGACTTTAACGCAGTAAGACTCGAGTCATGGGAAAGCCCGTTCGAGGATGTCTGGATAGGCATCTTATCAAACCAGCACACCTCACCTAATATTTACTTATGTGTATGCTATTTACCACCTGATATGCGCACCGATGATCTAGCTGCATTCTATGATAATGTGCAAAGTAATATCTTAAACAAAATACATGATGGAACTGTTGTAATTGTTGGAGATTTCAATACGCCCGGTGTCTCCTGGTATCAATCATGCGATCATCCACATATTATGACTCCTGGTGCTCCACCAGATGCTAAATCTAGGCTTCTCTCGGAAAATGTATCATTATGTAATCTTATGCAATTCAATAACCAATTGAACAAGAATAATCGCCTCTTAGATTTGGTCTTCTGCACAACGAGCACAGTTGTGGTTACTGAAGCGGACCCCATCTCCCGTACCGATGAGCATCATCCGCCCCTATTGATAACGATTACTAATTCAGACTCTCTATATCATAATAATATTAAAGCAAAAAAACACAAGCNTCCTCGAACCCTGGGTCATAATAATATATTTACTCACCACAGCTTTCCTCGTATTTCCTAAGTTTCTCTTCAAAACTATGTCTCATTAATAAGTCTGCTGCATCTGTTCCATTCATTTTGATGTCTTTTTATCACAATTAATTACTGTTTTGTAAAAATTATCAAAATCAAACATTCAATAACTCACTGTCACACACAGCTGACAGCAGTGACAGCTGTGGTAGCCATCTTGAAACATGCGCGCCACAGATTATTTACGAATAATGCTGCGCCGCGCCGCGTGCTGCGCAATGAGCATTGGGGGCGTTTGGCGGAAAATAGCGCTAGTAAGTAAAATGGCGTCCTTTTAGCGGTAAGTGCTGTCACTGTCAAAAAAATGTTTGAAAAATATAGATGACCCACGCTGAACTGTCCCGCCAAACTCAATGACAGGGGGGCGCTACCATCGTTCAACTATATGGTTTCCAACATGGCAAAAATCTGAACCAGCGATCCGGTATTGACGGTGGCGCCCCACTGTCAATGTCATCGACAGGACAGTCCAGTATTTTGGAACTATAGAATTTAGGACATTCACGAATGACAGCAGTTAAAGAAAAAAATATTCACGGGTTATGGCGCAAACTGACATCTGTGAGCAAAGCATCGAACTAAATCCTAAAATCAGAATGATGTTAATATAGTTGTGTGGTACATAGTTTATAGTATTATTAATTTTATACTGGCGAGACATAGACCAATACAATTTTCATTGAATTAAATAGTACTATAAGTAAGCCCACCTTAAACAGTCTATACGTACAAGGAAAAATAACAAAAAATAAACAGCGCCATCTATTGATTACTGTTATTACTTGCACAAATATGCTTTTCTTAGCTTATTAATGCCAGACAGAGCATTCGGACTTCTGTCATCATTTAATATTACACTAGATGGCGTCACCGTAAGAAATGATTTTAAGTTTAGTTGATTAAAAAATACAGAAAAGATTTATTAATTTGTTTGTTTTTATTAGTCAAAGTCAAAGTCAAAATGTGGAAGTCATTGGGGGAGGCCTATGTTCAGCAGTGGACGTCCTGTGGCTGAAATGATAATGATGATGATAATGATGATGACATAGCTGGGCACCGTTAATCAAGTAGTTAACTTCGTTAATCGTTAAACCGTTAATAAAATAATTAACTTCGTTAAACGTTAAAACGTTAAGACATTTTAATAAAACGAAAAAAATATTGTATGCAAGGTTCAAATAATTTAGAAAACTTGTATCGCGCATGGAATTTTTTCCACTTTTTAGCCAGACAGTTTTGACAGTTCCAACTCCTTGCCAGACAGTTTTTTTAGGATAGCTGCCAAAGCCACGATGACCCAAACGTCTTCATAATCCGCCACCATTCTACTAACCTATATTGGGAGCATACGCTGACAAACTTTCAGCTTTTATAAAATGACGTTGGTGCGGCATTCACCAGCTCTTAGTCTATAATTTAGCTTCAATTTCAATAAATGTAGCTACGATAAAATCAAATCGGAACTAAAAATCATCGATTGGCATGCGAAATTAGAATCAGTTAACGAGGTGGACCGAGCAGTGGATAACTTTTATGATATTATTTGGGAGTCTATTGCCAAACACACTCCAATGCATCAGGATACCTCTTATAAATACCCCGCCTGGTTCACGCCACCCCTAATAAAGTGCCTTAAAGAAAAGAAAAAATATCATAAACTGTTCAAAATGTATGGTAATCCTCGCGATTACGATACCTTCGCTCTGCTGCGATCTAGATCGAAGGAACTTATTAAAAGTTGTTATAAATCTTTCCTAGCTTTGACAGAGGAGTCTTTGAACAGTAATATAAAAGTATTTTGGCGATTTATTAACAACCGTAAGGGATCTAAAAGCATACCCAGTAACATGAGATTCGATCATAAGTCCGCCTCCAACAGTCAAGAGATATGTGAGCTCCTATCTGAATATTTCGGCTCGGTATACGAGGACCCGCCCCCACAACCGATTCCAACTCAGTTAGACCAAGCGTTACTAAATACTGTCTCATTCTCGGTGTTGAGGGTGGAGGAGCACGAGATACTTCGTAAGATACTTAATCTTGATCCAAATAAAGGGGCTGGTCCTGACAACATACCACCTAAGTTTTTAAAAATGTGCGCTAAGGAACTAACATTGCCACTCAAAATAATCTTCAACAAGTCTTTAGAGTCGGGTATCTTTCCAACTTCTTGGAAAATGGCGCATATCGTCCCCATTCACAAATCAGGCGACACCTCCGACTGCACAAATTATAGGCCGATTAGTATGTTAAGCGCCGTGGCTAAGCTTTTTGAGTCGGTGGTATATGACCACATTTACAATCATGTAAAGTCAAATTTGTCGGAGAAACAACATGGCTTTGTGAAACGCAAGTCAACAGTGACCAACCTTCTTGAGTACAAAAATTTTATCTGTTCTGCATTTGCCAAGCGCGGTCAAGTTGACTCGATTTACACAGATTTTAAAAAAGCCTTTGATAAGGTGAACCACACTATTCTCTGTCGGAAGATTGAGTCTTTTGGTATTAATGGATGTCTACTGCGCTGGATACAATCTTACCTTCTCAACCGTAGCCAACTTGTAACAGTCAAGGGTCACCAGTCTTCGTCTATTTCTATCAAATCTGGAGTGCCTCAGGGCTCCCACCTGGGACCCTTATTCTTTAACATCTTTATTAACGACCTTACCCAAAACTTGTCCTGCCCATGTTTGCTTTATGCCGACGATCTTAAAGTTTACAACATTATAAAAACTGAATNCAGAATAACATACCCTATCGATAGGTATTTTTTTTAAACAGAAATTGTGAAAAAAAAATCGCTGATTTAATTCCTTTTAAGTTTATTAAAATGTGTTTTTAGCAGTAATTTAAGGTTAATTTACATTATTAACGTATAAAATCTTTATATTTTTGTTAAATCTTTAAAGATATTCCAAAAAAAAATCACTTTTACTTACTTTTTTAAATTTTTTCAAAACCTCATAACTTGTGAACGGGCAACTTTGGACGCGCGCTGATAGCGTAGGATTACAGTCAACAAGCCATAGAACAAGGCTCAAGTAGTTTCAAAGCAAGATCTGTCAAGGCTTAGTCGAAATCGACCACTTTATGTTTCATTCCATACAACGAAAATGAAAAATATTTTTTTCCAGTCAAACTATTGGTTTTAGAGAAAAACTTGTGCAGCATTTATTCATCAGAATAACGTAACCTATCGATAGGTATTTTTTTCAAATAGAAATCGTGAAAAAAATCGATATGTCCATAAATCGCAATTTCGCTCCATAGTGCGGCATGAGATTTTCGGGGCTACTTAACGGAGTTTCTCTCTACAATCTATCCCTGTCTCTTACATAAAGCGAGATGCATGGGCGATAGAGACAGATATAGGGAAACGGCATTAAGTAGAAACTCAGATGAGATACTTATTGTAGATTCCAAAAAACAATGTGACATTAAAAAAATAATTATGATAAGATGAATAGAATTTAATCTCATTCGTTCGACCTTAATGATAATGTGATGTGATGATATGTATAAGCAAATTAAACATAAAATAATTTTAAACAATAATGTAAATTTTTATAGCCACGCTAGCCGAACGGTGAAGGGGTCGGACGTGCCGACTCGTCATCCAAGGAACACGGGTTCGAACTCCGCTGACAGGGCCGTCTTTAACCTACTAGGGGCCCTGGGCATTTTAAGGATTAAGGGGGGCCCTTATCATCTGGAAAAAGGTCCTATTAGTAGATGGGGGGCCCCCTCAGTCACGAGGCCCTGGGCACGTGCCCAAAGTGCCCAGTGGGAAAGAGGGGCCTGCCGCTGACGTTCGACTATTGTGGTGAGCCCACTCGTGATATTATATTTTAGCTTAGTTATGAGGGCTAACGGGGCTATTAGTAATTTGTGTAAGATCAAATTAATAGACTACAAAGTAAATTAAAATAAAATGTTATTTGTACAGTCAATGTCAATGATCGGAATAACCTATTTGACTCGACCTTAATGTCAAAATTAAATTAGCAATATGTTAATATTGTACCTATTTTACCTCTTACTAACTTTGTACCTATTTTAAACAAATTAAATTCGATGCTATGTCAGATCAATTATTGATTATAAATAAAGTTAATAAAGTTTGGGTAGCACAATAGCCGATATTTGGGTTTATTTCCGTTGTCCACAACAGGAGATAGGAAAGAATTCGAATGTGTCATCGCATAAATGATGAACTTGGTGAATACAAATGACTGAGTAATTTTTAAATGTGTGCAAGTTTTAAATAAATAAATAATATTCTTTTAAAAACAGGCCTCTAAAGAATTCGATTTTGTTGTCGTGTGTGTTAAGATTCTAGGCATTTAAAGAATTCGAATGTGTCGCCGTGTAGTACTAAAATTCGAGCAGCGCCAGCGCCGCCAGTGCTAGCAGCGCCGCCGCGCCCCAGCGCCACGCCCACGCGTTTACACCTATAGTTATGCAGAGCGTTGTCTCCTGGCACAGGCAATCATACGCCTAAAAGGAGGCTTCATCTATTAATATTTAAGTAAGCCTTTATAAAGAAATAAATAAAGAATTTTGAATTCTTTTGAATTTTTGAATAGATAGTGTAGTGCTAAGATTCGAGCAGCGCCTGCTTGTCGCTGCGCGGTCCCTTACCGCGGTTGCGCGCCCGCAGCAGCGCCAGCGCCGCGCCGCCCGCGCCCCAGCACCTCGCCCACGCGTTCATTCTTACTACATTATAGCGATAAGGGCCAAAGAACTTATGGATGACACACTCGTAACACAGGCATATTTAGCTAGCACAAGGGTCAACGGGACTGGTTTGTAAAAATAAGTTTTTAAGGAATTAGAATGTGTCATGTAGTGTTAAGATTCTAGCAGCGCCTGCTTGTCGCGGCGCGTGCGCAGCAGCGCCAGCGCCGCCAGAGTGTTAATGCTTATTACAAAGCGACAGCCGTACGGTGAAGGTGTCGGACTGGCCGACCTGATATCCTAGATAGGTTCGCTGTTTCAGATTACGCCGCCGCTGAACTATTGTGGTGAACATGGTGAATTCAAATTACATAAAATAAACTAAACGAAGGCTTCTAAAGAATTGGAATGTGTCATCGCATAAATAGTGCAGTACTAAGATTCGAGCAGCGCCTGCTTGTCGCTGCGTCTGCCCTTA